ATATCCATTTACCCTAACATCATCGGTTTTATCAGTTTTACCCTCAATTTCCTTTTTTGTTTCTTAAGTCAGCCCCTCCTTCTTCCCCTCCCTTCGTTACTTTCTCTTTGAACCTCCGGATTAATTATAAACTATCTTTAATATTTTAATTTTTATATTTTAAAAAATTATATTAATATTTTTATAGTTATAAAAGAAAAATATATAGATCCATTTACCCTAACATCATCGATTTTATCAGTTTTACCCTCAAATTCCTTTTCTGTTTCTCAAGTCAGCCCCTCCTCCCCCTCCCTTCGTCACTTTCTCTTTGAACCTCCAGATTAATTATAAATTATCTTTAATATTTTAATTTTTATATTTTAAAAAATTATATTAATATTCTTATAGTTATGAAAGAAAAATGTATAGATCCATTTACCCTAACATCATCGATTTTATCAACGAAAATATAAAAATAAAATAAAAATAAAAATAATTTAACATTCCAATCGGTAACGATGGACGACATCAATAGTAACGAATGGTGACATCGTTGAGGGTCATGTATGGTTGTTGTTGTGGATAAGGAGGGCAATAGTAGCGGATGGTGGCATGAGGGTCATGTGTGGTTGTTGTGGATAAGGAGGGCATGAGTGAAAGGTAAAGGTCGCTTTGCATCTACATCAATGATCATTTCGTCGCTCGGCAATTACGTTGATGCCAACGCAATTGTTATCGAGCGATGCGGCTCTATATTTGCATTCACACTGATGCTAATGTCGAATGACCCTCATCTCTTACTAATGATTTCCTTATCCACAACAATCACTCACGATCCCTAGTGACACTGTTGTCCACCACCAAATGTTAGAATTATATTTTTTTTCTTTTTTATTTTCATGTTTCTATTAACAAAACTAATGACGTTAGAGTAAATGAACCTACATGTTTTAGTTTTATAACTATAAGAATAGCAATGTAACTTTTTAAGATATAATGATCAGGATAATAAATATAGCTAATTATAAATGATAATTTGTAGTTAGCTCTCATCTTCCTCCTTGTCCTCTAAAGATGATGGTGAAGGGAATGATGAAGAGGTTTAGATGATGGTGAAGGGAATGATGAAGAGGTTTAGGTGATGCTGAGGATGAAGCAAAAAGAATAAGAGAAAATAGAATCATATTGACCCTATATTCGATTTAATATGATTTTACAAAAAATCATATAAAAAAATATGAAAGATCAAGAATATTTCTTTGTCAATTAATGATATTTTTTTAGTACATTGACCAATATATTTTTATTTATTATTTCTATACTTTGTTTATAATTATTCCAAACAAGATAGACTTACCTACAAAATATTCACTTTATAAGACAGAGTGTATCCGTCAAAAATTAGCTTGGGGTACAATCAATTCTAAAAAAACCCTGTAAATTGGTGTTCCCTTTGAGTTGAATCTATGAACAGCCCAACCAATCTCCCTTCTTCCTACATTGCCCTAGTTATTTTCATCTTCTCTATTATCCTCATCTATGATTGTCTCTCTTTTGCCGCTATCGTTATCTCATTTATGATTTTTTTTTTGTTCTTTTGTTATCCCTTATCGCTTCATCTACCTTCCACCATGCTTGCTTATATCTCTCTTCCTCACATTGCTCTCCATCATATGTGTACTTTGTATTTTCCTCTCTTTTATTATTACATTTTTCTTCATCTTCAATCATTTATCATTCTCGTTCTTTCTCTATTGAGGCTAATTATATATTACCCTATGAAATTAGTTACATTTAGTATTTCGATCCTTACACTTTAAAAAGCTAAATTGGCATCTTTATAGTTACTAAAGTGAAATATCTAAATTCATTTACCCTAACACCATCAGTTTTATTAATGAAAATATGAAACAAAAAATAAAAAGATAATTTTAATATTTTAGTTAATGGTAGCAAATAGTATCGGTGGTGCTAGACGACAGTACTGCTAGGGGCCACGGGTGGCTATTGTAAATGAAGAGAGTAGTAGTAAGAGGTGAGAGTCATTCTATATCTATATCAACGTCGACATAATTGTCGAGCGATTTTTTCGTTGCTTTACATCTACATCGATAACCACACAATTGTCGGGCAGCGAAAGGGCCACCGATGCAAATGTCGAGCGACCCTTTTGTTGCTCGGCAATTATGTCGAAGCGTCGCTCAATAATTGCATCGATGTCGACATAGATGCAGAGTGGCTCTCACTTCTCAGTATCTCTCTCCTCATCAATAACAATCACTTGTGGCCCCCAATGATGATGTCGTTCACTATTACCGAAGTCATTCACCATCATCAATTAGAACGTTAAAGTTATCTTTTTACCCGTTTTTTTATGTTTTCGTTAGTAAAACTGATAACGTTAGGATAAATGGATTTAGATATTTCACTTTCATAACTATAGAAATGCTAATATTTTTTTTTTTAAATGTAGAGATCAAAATACTTAAGATAGCTAATTACGAGGGTAATATGTAATTAGCCTTCCTCTATTGTCCTCTCCTTCCCTTTCAACGTTGATGTTGACTCTTCCTTGGGGATGGCCATGTTGTCTTTGTTAGCAATTAGTTTATCATAAGCATCGAGAGAAAGCATCATATTGTCTATTGCATCTTTTAAGTCTATCTACCTCCTTGACTATCAATCACCACTTCGACCTCTTCTAGTGCTTGAAGCTTGCAATTTAGTATGATAGTTTGAATCATATATCGAGAATGTTCTATATATTATATTTGATTTAAAATATATTCTTATTTAGTATTGACTCGGTAAGTGCCAATGGTGCAAAAACTCAATTGACTAGGATTAATGTCGTGGGTTTTGATGGATGAAGAATATTTATCATATCAAGAATATTAGTTGTAGGTAAGATTTCCACAACAAGAGAGAGGATCAGTATGATACCATATATCCGATAGTATATCGATTAAGACTCTCTTATATAATGAAAAAGATGAAGGATACAAGTCCTTGATTAGACCTGCAAATACTGTGTGATATCTACTGATTTGTTTGGTATTTGAAATCTTTGTTGAGGGTTTAGTTAAAACAGTAGATGCTTGATCATGTATATGACTTCCAATTTACATGTTCACAAGGAGATTATGATAGTGGCTTTCCAAAAATATCAGCTCTTTGGTTTCATGCCATAGCCATATATTAGAGTTTAGGAATTCCTAGAGTTGTGCTTATGCAAGGTTTAACTGGTTTTGTGGATGTCATAATAGCTTGGTTGTAGTCTCATCTTGCTTATGGTCTTTTTTGCCTATTCTTAAGAATGGTTATTTGGAAATGTCAATTTGTGCAAACAATGTTTTTTTTTTTTGGAGGAAGAAAGAGACACTGCATTAAAAACTAAATAGGAGAGTACAAAATGCTTGCAAGATCATGATAACTGGGCAAGTCACCACTCCAAAACCTGGACAGACCCTCAATTCTAGCAAAACAAGCTAGAGAATGTGCCTCTCTATTACATCTCTATACAAAAGCCACACTTGGATAAGGAAAACTTGTCAAAAGCTTCTCTATACAAACAATGTCTTTGTAATAGAAGCTCATTTCAATACGAAACATTCATGATGAATATCTTGAAAAGCTTGATCTAATCTGACTATAATTAGTCTAGTTTTGTTGGGAACCTATCCTTCACTTTGCTTGTTGCAGAGTGATTCATCTCATGTTAGTCTCTTTGTTTTCTTCTTTCTTGTTAAAGGGTATTATCTACACCCTTATAGAAACTTAGATTTGTAGTGTCTAAATCCTTTGATTTATAAGCAGATTATAATCCATTTTAGTGATTGAGAATTAGTTAGATGTATATGTTCAAAGAATTATAAAGATGAAACAACTAACATCACATATTGTGGAAGAGTAGACATGAATAACTATTTTATCTTTATTTTGATCACTCAAATTAAACTGCTTCTTTCTCTTCTAAACCCAATACTTTTCACTGTATGAGCAGTAACTCACATTTCATCTTTATTTTGCCTTTATTTTCTGCAATTATTTTTTACTCATCATCATACTAATTTACTTGATGCAAAGCAGGAAAAGAAATGAGAATAGCTTTCCTCATATATGGATATCTTGCTCATATGGATGTTTAGAAAGAACAATATGCAATCATGAAGATAAGCAACAACTATTGAACTATCATTATGCAAGAAATTTCTCAAAAAAATATCATTATTCAAAAAAAAAAACCTAGAAGTACCACTTGAAAATTATATGATGGGAAGTGAAGCATCAGATTATGGTTTGTTTTATTTAGTATATATATATATATATATATATATATATATATATATATATATATATATATATATATATATATAT